CCATGATGAGTTGCCCATGGCAAGTTGGCCATGATGAATTGCCTATGACAAGTTGGCCATGATATATTGCCCATGGTGAGTTGGCTATGATGAGTTGGCCATGGTGAGTTGGCCATGTTTAATTGCCCATGGCAAGTTGCCCATGGTGAGCTGGCCATGATGAATTGCCCATGACAAGTTGGCCATGATGAATTGCCCATGGTGAGTTGCCCATGATGAGTTGCCCATGGCGAGTTGGCCGTGGCGAGTTGGCCGTGATTAGTTGGCCATGGCAAGTTATCTTGCAGCGAGTTGGCCATGGTAAATTCCCAGGCTTCCTCCCTTGTCCTGCCAAGGCACCTTGGCTGCCATCTCTGCCTCCCCATGGCCAGATTGCCCAAAGGTGAAGAGCCATCGCCTTTCTCTGTCCCGATTCTCTCTGCGTGAGACACAGAGGGAGACTTCTAAGAATACCGCCATTAATAAAAGCCATGTCAGGACTCCTGCCTCGGCAGCAAGGCTCCATGAGTCATGGCGAGTGTGAGAAATCGGAAAGCAGGTGCGGAGTTGTGAATCAGAGAAAAAAATACAGTCGTGGGCTGGCGGCAACATCTCCGGGGCATTTGCCAGCTTCTGAGCTGTGATTCACTCCAGCGTGGGTCAAACGGGCATTTGAGCTGAGAATAAAAGGGAAACACACAGGCGGCCCCCTCTTTCTTGGCAAATCTTGCACCGCAAAGCGAAACTCCTTAAAGGTTGATGCAATTTTCCAATATTTAAGGGGCTGCCACAAATGAGAGAGGCTCAACCTATTCTCCCAAGCAGGATAAGAAGCGACAGATGGAAACGTATCAAGCAGAGAAGCAATCTAGAACTAAGGGGGAATTTCCTGACTGTGAGAACAATTAATCAATGGAACAGTTTGCCACTAGAAGTCGTGTCTGCTCCATCAATCCCTTTCAAGAAGATATTGGACAACTGTTTTTCTACATGGTGTAGTAGGCTGTAGGTTGGATTGGAAGACTTCCAACGTCTCCTCCAACTCTAATTCCGTTATTCTAAACTACTACGATACCCATGCTTTGCTACAAAACTATGGGATGGGGCTTAGTTTTGGGGGAGGAAAATAAGAGGGGCAAAAATGTGCCTCTGCCTACCAGCATCCAGCATCTGCCTAGCGTCCTGTCAGAGTGTGAGAGAATTGAGGGCTGCTTCGAAAGTGAAAAAGTATTGGCTGTGTGAGTAAGAAGGAGACAGCAAGGAGCCTGGGCGTGGCTTTGCTCAACTGTTCTGTACTAAAGCTGGTTGCTGCTGTGAAAGTGAAAGTGAAAGTGAAACTCCTCTCCTCTGCTTGTGTTTTGCATTGGGAAGATATTTCTTTTCAGGTGGGCAGAGGGAGTAGAACTTTTTAGCATCAGAGCGTGTTAATAATAATAATAACAATAATAATAACAGTAGTAGTAGTAGTAATAATAATAATAGTAATATAGGAAATACTAATGTTTTGATGGTCATTTCAAAAAATTCTTTCTTAGTGAGCCCCTAGAAGCCAAGAGGAACATATGTGCCAAATTGCAAGTTTGTAGGCTTTACAGTTCGGGAGATTTTGTGCACAAGTGGTATTTCGCTTTTTTATATCTTTTTTGGCCACTGTACAGAAGTGGTTTGTCTCTCTATCAGCTCCTGGGATTTGAGTGACTTTTCAATCCAGCCAAAATCTAAGATTTCCCACTGGCCACCCATCCAAATACTAAGCAGGGCTGGTCTTGCTTAACTGAGGTCTGCCCTTGGTGTTTTCAAAGTTTATTTTTTGGCCCAATTGTATGCTAAACCTGTAAATCCAGATTTAGATGTTTTCTGCACTCTTCATCGAAAAAAGATCTCTTGAATCAGTTGCCTATTCTACCCTGTTAAGATTTCTTATCAAATAAATTACCTGTGTGCATATTATCATTCGATATTTTTTTTAAAAAAAGACTCAGTACAGTGTCTGTGTTTCCTCTTGAAATTTGGCAACACAAAACAAGTTAATGTTGGAAAATTATTTGCTCTAAGTCTGATTTTCTTTAATGTTTTTGCATTTGCCAAGGCAATGAAGGAGATTAATCCACATTTTGGAAAATCTCCCTTTGATACAAAAATTAAAAAGCACAACAACTCACTCACATACGGTGCCTGGCAATAGCAAGCTGCACGTTCCTTGTTTGGTGTACCAGGTTTTTGTTTGTTCTGCTTTAACCTGCAAAGGATTGGTTTTTATATTCTGGCAAGAATTATTCTCTGGCTGTTGTTCATGCAACAATTCTTACTTTTTATGTGAAGCACAATTGTTTGTGCCATCTGGTTGCAATTTGAGGAGGATCCACCAGGGGGCAGAGCTTCCAAATGGATGTCAGGTTTGAGTTGTGTGTTTTAGTTGTTTGGTTGTTGTAGGTTTTTTTTTTTTTTTTTGCAAAGTGCTGCTGAAATTTGGATTTTATCCAAAATCTGGGGTTGTGCACCTGCTCCCGAGGAAAAATGAAATAAAATAAAGAACAGAAGAACGAGACTTATACTTCCAGAAGCTGATGTGTTTGCAAGTTGCGACTCTTGAAACAAAACCACATATTTATTTTTCCTTATTTTTTCCTCCCAAGGGCTTTTTTTCTGGCTTCCGGAAGATTGAAACACGTCAAGTCTTAGTTCATTCTAAGCCTTAGCTTTCCTGATTTGTCCACACAGATCCGGGCTATTTGTTGATATTCTTTTAAACGTATAGTGAATGTAATGGATGAATATAGAGATATAGTACATTACCTCTCTTTCCATTGTTATATTTATCCTTTTTTTCCTCTCCGTTTGTTAGATACTTCTTCGTTCAACCATGCTGGTTTTATCGGGGGTCTCTTGTTTTTCTTCCTCTGTGATATTGTGTTAGATTGTGCATAAATGCACGTTATTTAAAAAAAAAAATCTCATTTTTTTCAGATCGCATATACGATCATGTTCATTCAGACGCTGATTTCCAGCCCATGACAAATTCTCAAAGTAACAGACAAAAATGAAGTGAAATTAGAAGAATTGCAAAAAAAGTACATTAAAATCTCTTTGTCCCTGAGAGCGGCTTAAAAGCCAGGCCAGGAAGGCAAAAACAGCAGAAAACCAATTTACTCACACAGAGAGGGAGGCAGGGAGAGGAAAGCAGACCAGATTAAACCCTTGGGAAAAACGAACTAACCACAAAAGTGATATTTGCCAGGCAAGAAGTCTCCATTTCACCCATCACCCATCATAAATCAGAATATTACAGCACCATTTTATGGATGCGAATGGTTGGAAATGCTTCAGGAACCGTCTTCTAAAAATATATCCCCCCCCCCTAATTAGTTTCGCTCTATTCCCTATTCTGTATCTCTGTTTTATGCGGGGGGGGGATAAATAAGGCGCTTTGAACTTACGCAACAATTAATGATTACAAGCCATCGTGTTGTCATTGGTTCTTAATGACCACAAACGTAAAACTCTCGCCATGATGCTCAGTCCCGCACCTGCTACTTCAGATCTTGCTATGGAGGTAGAGGTTCTCTCCTGCTTGAGGGGGTGGGTGGGTGGGTGGGCTGGACTAGAAGATCTCCAAGGTCCCTTCCAACCCATTCTATTGTATCCTATCTTCCAACTTGGAGCCCGATTTGCACCTGCCCATCTTTTGGGGGGTGATTTTTATTCGTGTGCGCGCGCGGGTGCATGCTACCATACACAACACGTGTTTGGGGGATTGAGGATGCCCAAGGGGGTCAGCGGAGGGTCCCCGGGATAGTCGAGGCCGCTCCACATCCACTTGTGGATCCCGACGGCTAGCTGCGCGAGAAGCAGAAGCCACGGCTGCCAACTTGCGCCTTTTCCTCTCACCTCTCTTAATTTTGCATCACCAGCTGCGCGTTTGCCGGGGAAGGGAAGGGAGGGGAGGCTTGTCTTGTCACTCTGCGGGGCCAGCCGAGTCTGCCAGGCATCCCGCGCCTTGAGGACTAGAACCTTGCTTTCCCCAGAGGGCAAAGGCTCGGGGAAAAAGGCGAGCTTTTCCTTTTGCTGCTTTTACTGTAGCTGCAGGCAACTCACGTCAACTGTCCCACCTCCTCCTCCTCCTTCCTCCTCTTACCTCCCCCCTTCCTCCTCCTCCTCCCTTCCTCCTCTTCCTCCTCCTTCCTCCTCCTCCCTCCCCCTCTTCCTCCTCCTTCCTCCTCCCTCCCCCTTCCTCCTCCTCTTCCTCCTTCTTCCTCCTCTTCCCTCCCCTCCCCTCTTCCTCCTCCTCCACCTTCCTCCTCCTCCCTCCCCCCTTCCTCCTCCTCCTCCTCCCTCTTCCTCCATCCCCGAGCCGGCGGCGGCGGCGAGGCCGAGCGGGGCTGCGGTGCCTTTAAGTCCGCACCGGCGGGTGACGCCACCACCGCCCGGGGAAAGGAGCCTCGGCGCCGGCCACAGCAGTCCGAGCTGCCCCAGCACCGCCGCCGCGATGGAGCCGCCGCCGCCGCCGCCGCACCGGAGCGCCGGGAAGAGCAGGCAGGCGCTGCCCAGGGGCCGAGCGGGAGAGCCGGCCGGCTGGCGCAAGGTGAGTCCGCAGGTAAGCCGGGCGAGGGATGCGGGCGTTGCAGGTGAGCGAGGGAAGGAGGGGCGGGCGGCAATCCGAGCCCACCGGCGGGGGTCTTTCTCCCCACGACTCGGCCCGCCGTGCACGGCCGAGAGCGAGAAAGAGCGCGCGCATCCCGGGCGGGCGCACGTGTAGGCGGCGGGCTGGAGAGGGTCGCGAGCGCGCGTGGGGCTTGCTCGCCGTCCTCCCCCCATCCCCGTGGGCGTCCTTGCGCTCCTTGCGGCCCCGAGAAGACCCCCCCCCACTCCCCCGGACGGAGCCCCTTCCACGGGACAGAAGAAGAAAAACCCCTCCCCCTCTCCACGGGTGGGTTTCCTTTGCGCCCACCCCCCACGCCGCGCGTGGACTCTGACCGGGCTGTCGTGGGGTTGGAGGCGGGGGAGGGACGCGTTGGCCCGGAATTGGGGGCTCCCTTCCCCCCCCCCCCCCCCCCCCCCCCCCCTTTTGCACAGTACTCGGGAAGGAAGGAAAACCACGCGCGCGCACCCACGCAAACCCACACAGGCGCCCGCGTTTCCTATCCTTTGCAATCGCTGCAATCCCCCCTTTGATGGGGGGAGCTGGGAGAGACACCCCCACCTCCTCCGGGATGTGGGATCTCTCTGGGGTGTAAAAACCAGCAGGGAGGGGGACCTTGCCTCCATCCACCCCTTCCTCCTCCTCCCCCATCCGGACTAAAAGAGGGAAGGAGCCATTCCCCCGCCCCCCACCCTCCCCAGCCTCCTGAAGGCCACCCAGCCTGGCCATTGAAGCTCCAAACTGCCCCCACCCACCCCCGCTATGTCTGCCTGCCCAGGTGTCCTTCCTTCCACCCAGGTGCCCGGGAAAGGGAGCCCTGGCGGCGTCTGCTTCGCTCAGCACCTTCCAAAGCGGGTGGAAAGGAGAAAGGAAGGGCAACAGGGGCCCCGGGCTGAGAGGTAGGGGGGGCGGGTAGGCTCTCTCGGGGACCATTCTGCCGAAAGGGGAAACTGAGGCAGCAGGAGGCCATCGGTGAGAAGAAGACGAGGAAGAAGAAGAGCGGCCTGGGAGAGAATTGGTGCTCCTAGGGATTGAGGAGGGGGGCTGTGGAGAAAGCTCAGCCTGAGATGCCCAGGAAAAAATGGGGGGCAACAGTTTGTCTCTGGGCTTGGGGACAGCGATGCGGGGGGAGAAGAGAATTGTGCAGAAAGGGAAAGCTCTGGGCCCTCATTTGGAAGAAGATCCCCCCCCCAAGGGTTTATTTATTTACTGGTTTTATTTTTATTCAGACCATTGATAGTGCTACCTATTTGCACAGGGCAACGGGAGGTGCCTTGCAAAGATATGGGTGCATTTGTCTGTCCCGGGGCCTGAGATTGCGGGGTGGGGTGGGGTGGGGGGATGGGATGGGATGGGAATTCCTGCCCAGATCATTAACAGATTAACAGATAATCAGAGTTGGAAGGGACCTTGTGGGTCATCTAGTCCAACCCCCACCCACCCAAGCGGGAGGCCCTACACCATTTCTGACAGATGGGAGTCTCTCTCTGGTCCTTCTCTTCCCTAGACTAGCCAGGCCCAGTTCCTGCAACCGTTCTTCGTATGTTTTAGTCTCCAGGCCTTTGATCATCTTAGACAGATTCAGATTAACAGTTGGAAGGGACCTTATAGGTCATCTAGTCCCACCCAAGCAGGAGATCCTACACCATTTCTGACAGATGGCAGTCCAATCCCTTCTTGAAAGCCTCCAAAGATGAAGCTCCCACAACTTCCGAAGGCAACTTCTGTTCCATTGGTTGATGGTTCTCCCTGCCAGAAAATCCCTCCTTATTTCCAGGTTGAATCTCTCCTGGTTCAGTTTCCATCCGTTGTTCCTTCTCTGGCCTTGGAAAATAGCTTCACTCCCTCCTCCTCTCTGGGGCAGCCCCTCAAATATTGGAGGACTGCTATCATACCCCATTTCCAGATGCCCCCAAAATGCTCTCCCTGGTGTCGAAGTGCCAGCCGGGGAGAATCGGATCGATAACTGGGGTGGGTGAATGACGGACAAGCTCTCCTGTTTTTCAGACAGGATGTAACATACCTGACAAAGAGGGGATATAATTTCACTCTGCTCTTGGCATCTTATTATGTGTTCAGAGTTACTTGACCCTGGCTTGGCTCACCGCCCAGAGAAAAGACAATTTCTCCGCTTCTAAATCGCTCCAGGAAGGATTAAGGCAAGCCATATCGCTCTCCTCCTCCTCCTCCTCCAAAGCCACGTGGGAATTTGACCCGAGACCACCTGAGCCTGGCCTTTTAAAGGGGAGAGGGGTTTGGCCTGTGGAATGGGACCACTCGGCACCATACATTTGCCCACTGCCAACTGGCCACGGGACCACTCACTGCGGGACAATGCAAACATTCCACTTGATTATTAACAAGGAGAGATTCAACCTGGAAATAAGGAGAAACTTTCTGATAGGGAGAACCATCAACCCGTGGAACAGAAGTTGCCTTCAGAAGTTGTGGGAGCTTCATCCCTGGAGGCTTTCAAGAAGAGATTGGATTGCCATTTGTCAGAACTGGTGTAGGGTCTCCTGCTTGGGCAGGGGGTTGGACTGGATGACCTACAAGGTCCCTTCCAACTCTGGTTATCTGTTATCTGTTTATCTGTTACCATAGAGCAGCATAGAGTTAGAAATATCTCACTTTTCGATCAGAATAGAGTCGGAAGGGACCTTGGAGGTCTTCTAGTCCAACCCTAATCCCATTTCAGACAGTCTTTTCTTGAAAACCTCCCATGATGGAGCCCCCACAACTTCTAGTGGCAAACTGTTCCATTGGTTTATCGTCCTCCCTGTTTGGAAGTTTCTCCCAAGTTCCAGCTTGCTTCTCTCCTTGGTCAGTTTCTTCTTGTCTTGCTTTCTGGGGCTTTGGAAAATAATTTGACACACACACCCCCTCTTCTTTCTGTCCTCAACTTAAGACCACAGTGGAGCCCAAAATTTCAGTTGCTGAGTGAAACATTTGTTAAGCGAGGCAGAAAAGCATGACCAGCTGAGCTAGTTCTACGGTATTGTTAATATTATATTAACCGAATCTTGCAAGTTCTTCCCCCCACCCTTACCCAAAAACGTGGGAGGGTCTATTCTGAGTCCCTTACTCCCCCTCATATTCCTGCAGGGAGGGGGCTAAGAAGCCTTTTATCTAGCTGGTCCCTCATGGCTCTGTCCCCCAAGGTCATTCTCACATACCTTTACATCAGTTGACTTTGGAGGCTGTTTGATCTGGTTCATGGTGGTGGTGGGGAATTGTAGTTCTGATTTTACTCTTGGTACCCCCCCAAAATTTTTTAATTTAAACATTTTTCTTTAACATATATAAGTAAATAGTGTATTGTCTGGGTCATTTCACATATACACAATTAAGTCATAGCGATATTCTTTATTTACATATCAAGGTATTTTCCCAACTTCTAATTTCTGCCTTTATTATCTAACCATTGATAAAACAAATCCCAAGTTTTTTTAAAAAAATAATTCTGTATCTTCTTTGCTCTTCATCTTTCATGTTAACCTATCCATTTCTGCACAATCTAGTATTTTTTAAAAAATTATATTTTCATCTGTAGGAGTTTTTCTCATTTTTCCAGTATTGTGCAAATACAAGTCTCGGTGCAGTCAAGGAGGAGACCCTAGCGTCCCTCTACGTTTCCTAAACAGCTCAACATCTGGCTCCTGTCTGGTTGTCTGAACGGCCATCTCCATCTTCTCTTTCAGAGGGATTTAGGGCACCCGGGGCCGCCCTCCCCACTCCCCGCGCAGCCCACCCCCTCTCGAGGGAGCCTTGTGGGGCTGGCCTCCCCGGGGGTCTTCTCTCCCGCCGCCGTGCCCTTTGTCCCGGAAGGAGCCATTCGCTACCAGCCGGAGGGATCGAGCGGGGTCTCCTACGTCGGAGGGAACATGCCCAGCGGGACGCGGCCGGATTCCCTGGGCGAAGCGTTCCACACTCGGCTGCAGCCGGACGGGTCACGTCGACGAGCTGAGGTGGAACCGCACGAAAAGGCTGCTGGGGGCAGACCAATCCCGCCTCTCTCCTTGGAGATCAACAGAGTCCAGCCGGAGGGTTCGGGGCCCTCTGGGTACAACACCCCCACTTTACGGTCTCCGGTAGAGTTGCGCCCTTTGTCTCCTGGTATGGGCAGCTCCTCTTCGCTCTCCAACCTCTCCCCCTCCATGAAACTTAGCCAGTCCCCAAGCAGGGGGACCCTTCCTGACCTCTGCGCCTTGGACCCCCTGACGTCTGGGATTCTGGCCACCATGGAACGCAAGGACTCCCTCCCTAAGGCCGAATCCAGCGACCACATTTGCCTGAGCCGGCCAGGCTCGTCCCACCGGTTGGGCTCTCTTTCCAAAGCCATCTCCAGCGAGTACCTCTCTGGGGGAAGGGTGGGACCTTCCAAATCTGCCATGCTGGCCAAGGCCGAGTCGGAGGAGCTGACCACCTACTCCAGGGTCCGTCTGTCGCCCCAGTTGCAAGACCCGTGGAGCAGCAGCACCAACCGCACGGAGAACTACCTGGAAAGATTCGGCCGGCCACAAACGAGGCAGGACAAGGAGTTTCGGTGAGGTGCAGCCGGGGAGGGGTGGGGGGAGGGGGGGGGTGGGTGGGCGGGTGGGTGAGTGGGCGGGCGGGGAGACGGACAGATGGTGATACCACAAAAGCAGGCGAAAGAGCCTCACCAGAACACCAATTAGAGATTTGCCAGGCAGAAATTCTGGTAGCTTAGTGATAATATTTGCACGATCAGAATGGAACGCACTTTCCGTTCCCAACTGCTACGCTGCTCTTTCAAATTTCTTCTCCCTTCCTTCTGTTCACTCTAAAACAAGCATAGAAGCGTTTTGTGAGTCGACACCTTCATTCACAGAGACGCAACTTTGGAGTAGCGTTTCTCAATCTCTAAGCCTGAGGATGGACTCCTTTGGCCCTTCCAGAAGGAACTTAAAACCTGGCTCTGGCGGCTGCCTTAGGGCCCCGGTGCTCTTTGGTGGATCTGATTGATGGGGTACAAGAGAAGAGCCCGCCCAAAACACCACGGCATCTATACTCTTTGCCTTAGTCTCTTTTAAGTTTCTTCGTAATTTTCGGTTTTTATATTTATCTTCTGAGCCGTGGCGGTGCAGTGGTTATAATGCAGCGTTGCAGGCGCAGTGGTTATAATGCAGCACCGCTCACTGTCAGCAGTTCGATCCTGACCGGCTCAAGGTTGACTCAGCCTTCCATCCTTCCGAGGACCCAGATTGTTGGGGGAAAGAGGCTGACTCTGTAAACCACTTAGAGAGGGCTGGAAAGCACCAGGAAGTGGTATATAAGTCTAAGTTCTATTGCCGTTATCAGTCTATAAGCCACCCAGAGCCGCTCCAACAGTGAGACAGGCGGCATATAAATTTAACCGATAAATAAAGTAAAATCAAGATGGGCATTCTGGGAATTGAAGTCCATTCATCTTAAAGTTAACTAGAAACCTAGGGGGTGACATGATAGCAGTCTTCCAATATCCGAGGGGCTGCCCTAAAGAAGAGGGAGTCAAGCTATTCTCCAAAGCACCTGAGGGCAGGACAAGAAGCAATAAGGATGGAAAACTAACCAAGGAGAGAAGAAACCTAGAACTAAGGATAAATTTCTTGACAGTCAGAACAATTAACCAGCGGAACAGCTTGCCACCAGAAGTTGAGAGTGCTCCAACACTGGAAGTTTTTAAAAAGATGTTGGATAACCATTTGTCTGAAACGGTTTAGGGTTTCCTGCCTAGGCAGGGGGTTGGACTAGAAGACCTCCAAGGTCCCTTCCAACTCTGTTATTCTTCCGAAGGGAGATGGGTGGCAATTCTACAAGCAACTCGGAATGATGAAAAGGCTAAAGCATCTCCCGAAGGTGCGACCCTTCCCCAGGTAGGCCAAGTAAGAGTGCCTGATAAAGACAAAGGGCTGGTCCCAGATTGCCGGATTCAGACGGGCCAGCATTTATTTCCATCTTCTGGCCTGACCTCTTCCATTTCTTTCCCCCCTTTTTTTCCCCCCCTGAGCCTTTTCCATTTGAGCCTCGTCTTTGCGAGTCTGATGGATTGAACGTGACATTACCCTCCCTCCTCCCTTACGCTCACATTTTGTAAATATGTCTCTGAACACGTGTGCCTCTTGTAGCGTGGCCTGAAATGCCCCGTTTTTTAAAATGTCAGTTTGCGTTCTCTCCAGCCCCTAGAATAGGAGTAGAATTAGAATTAGAATGATTAAAATTAGAGTAGAATAGAATTAGAACACTGAATGTTATATGGTATGGGACTTGTTTTACCAATGGATAGAAAATAGAATAAACTAAAAGGGATTAGATATATTCGTAGAGCAATAAAACAAAATTAATGTAATAGGTGTATTGGATTTCATTTATACTATATATATATGGGAATGTGATTATTACTATGTTGTTAAATTGGATAAGAAGAATATTATTAATAATGGTTATGTAATTGAAATATGTACCTAATCGATGCATGATTGAAATGGAATGGATTTATTGTATATAAAATAAAAAATTACAAAAATGTATAGAATTAGAACGGAACAGGAATAGAGCAGAACAGAAACTAGAACAGAATAGAAATTAGAAACAGAGTAGAAATTAGAACAGAATAGAAATTAGAACAGAATAAAAATTAGAGTAGAAATTAGAACAGAATAGAAATTAGAACAGAGTAGAAATTAGAAACAGAGTAGAAATTAGAACAGAATAGAAATTAGAACAGGACAGAATTCTTTATTGTCCAAGTATGATTGGATACACATGGAATTTGCCTCCAGTGCATAAGCTCAGCTATAAACAGCAAATAATAGGTCATATTCATAGTTACAGTCATTTAAGTTACAAGCGACATTTGATCACCCATAAGATACCAATAGGACAAGATAGTAGGAAAGATGAGAAGATAGATAAGACGAGAAATGAGACAGTGGGGAAAATGAGAAGGGTCATTGCAATTCAGCCCTACTACACGGATAAAATATCCTTTCAGGGCTAAGACAGTGCAGTGGGAATTCAATGTCCAGCAGGAGGGAAATGCTCCTTCCTGGCATGGAGGGAAAAGCTATGACTTTCTGTCTGGTTGTTTTGGCATAGTGGCGTCCTGAAGTTGAAACAGTTTATGTCCTGGAGGTTGAGGGGTCTGTAGATATTTTCTCGGCCCTCTTTCCGGTTCACGCCAGAAAACTAAAGTTTACAAAGTTGAGAATTACCTGTCTCAGGAGATCCCTGATGCCGGACTGCCAGCATTCCACCTGATGCCTTTTGCAAACCTACCTTACTGGTCTCTTTACTGGCCTGCAGTCAGTCTCTTACTTTTAGATGCCAACTGGCTCCCTTCCTTGTGCGCAGTTTAATTAGGCTAATGCCCTGGGATTTGTCACCTCCATCTTATGCCAAGGAGCTGCCAAGGTCTCCTTCCAGGAGTTTTTTTCTCAAGGGTGACTAATATCCTCTTGGCCAGCCAGTGTCCTCGAGCAGCGCCTGCCAAAAGCCGCCTCCTGCATTGTTGCAAGAGTGGTGACATCACGGTTGTAGAATATCCCTTGTGGGCTCACTGTATAGGTAGTCCTTGACTTAAAACACTTCATTTAGTGATCGTTCGAAGTTGCAACGGACTTGAAAAATGTGACTCATCGTCTTCTTTTAAGAACCCCATAATTAATCCCTTGCGGGGTGGAGTCTGGGCAACCGAATGGAGCCGAGTGTTTACTGGCCGGATGCCTTTCCCGTCACCAGGGCGGAGTTATATTCAACAGAGATATATATATATATATATATATTCTCAACGTGCCCAGAGAGAGAAATCTCTGCCTCTAGCTAGGATTGAATTCACAGCCTCCTGATTGGGAGGTCGTTTTGCACACTTACGACTGCTGCAGCATCTCCGTGACCCCGTGGTCAAAATTCAGATGCTTGGCAACCGACTCATACTTATGACGGTTGCAGTTGTCCTGTTGGGGGTGGGGTGGGGTGTCAAGCGTGATTCACTTGACGACAGTGGCAAGAAAAGTCACAAAATTCGATGAAACTCGCAGAAAATAATTCCTTTGATGATGTGAGGTCACTATTATCATCCCAGGGCAGAAGGAACAGTTGCCCCCTTTCGCTTGGAAAGCCCAGAAGCCACGTTCCCCGGACTATTTCTTGCCGGAGTTGGTGCACGCGGCTGACTTGATCTGGCAGAGAGCAGAAGCATCACAAGCCAAACAATTCTGGATTTTTCCGACCTCTTGCCAGAGAATTTGGCTGTCTAGCCAAGCGCCGTTTTAACGAACTCTTAAGGAAGAAAAAAAAACCCTATATTTTGCATTCTGTTTTTTTTCCTTCCCAGATTAAGATAGCCAGTGAGTGGCACGGTGGCCTAGAGGTTGGAGGTCTTGCCTCACAATCAGGAGGCTGCGAGTTCAATCCTAGGTAGAGGCAGATATTTCTCTCTCTGGACGCACTGAACCAAACTCTGCCCTGGTGACAGGAAGGGCATCTAGCCAGGAAACACCCAGCTCCATTCATTTGCCCAAGACTCCGGCATTACGGGGTCTTTAAAAGAAGAGGATGATTAAGATGGCCAGTGGTTCTTTTTAAGGGGCCAAGATGTGCCGTGCCTCGATAGAATACAGAATAACGGAGTCGGGAGGGACCTTGAAGGGTCATCTAATCCAACCCCCTGCTCAAGCCAGCAGACCCTTCCTCACCTCCCCTTCACCTGCTGGCCAGTTCCTGCCGCAGAGTCTCCTGCCTCTGTCGGTTGATCCCACAAGTGGCTAGAGATCCTTCGCATCACTCCAGCCGGCCCCACATCCCCCATGGAAGACTTCAGGGTGGAGAAGGAAACAGACCCAGTCAAGCTTACTTCCTGCTCCTTGTTGCAAGTCTTCTTGACATGCTGTTCAAGATGTGGGTAGTTGCTGGAAGCCAGATAACATTGCCTGGCATTCACGCCCCCAATTGCCCCACTTCCATTTATAAATAGCGCGCCTGACGTTCATTTTTCCAAACCCCCATTAATGCCAGCAAGGAGAGCGAGCGCCGCTTTTCCCCCAGAGCTGTTTTCACAGGCGATATTTTTACTGCTGTCAAGTTTTGTTTCTTTAGCAAGGAACGAGAGCGGACGCATCCCGAGAGGGTTTTAAGGCACTAAAAGACCTAGTGGGTGCTTCCTGCATTCCTGCTGTGATGCAGAATTTGGGGGAAAGGGGGAGGTGTGGTTGTTCCGGCACCCTAGACCCCCTGATTAGCCATCCACAGTTTAGTCAAGGGCGTTACGCCACGCTGGCTTTGAAACATCTGGATAAAGGTAAAGGTTCCCCTTGCACATCCGTGCTAGTCGTTTCTGGCTCTAGGGGGCGATGCTCAACTCTGTTGCAAAACTGAAGAGCCAGTGCTGTCCGAAGACGTCTCCCTGGTCATGAGTAAACACTGAAGGCACACAGAACGCTGTTCCCCTTCCCACCAAAGTGGTTCCTATTTTTCTACTTGCATTTTTTACATGCTGTCGAACTGCCAGGTTGGCAGAAGCTGGGACAAGGAACGGGAGCTCACTCCGTGACGCGGCGCTGGGGATTCAAACCGCCGAACTGCCGACCTTTTCTGATCGACAATCTCAGTGTCTTAGCTGCTGCCTTCCTATATTATTAAGATGTTCCAGGGCTGTAAGATCCCTTGGGAAGTTGGGACCCCCAATCCAGAAGAAGTCAACAACAAATGACTTCGGTCTGAAAGGCCTCTCTCAGAAGAACAGAGTTGGAAGAGAATTTGTGCGTTTTCCCTTCACCCGCTTGTACGTTGCTGCAGCGGGACGGTGCAATGGAAGGGCAAGACCTCTTGGTAGGACTTCACCAAACGGCTCTTCCCAAGGACTCTAGAAGGGGCCGCTTCCTCCAAGAAGAAGGGCCTCAGCCTCCGGAATTGACAACTCATCGCAGCCAATTGGCCGCAGTCAACATGGCCGAAATGCCACCGGCTACAGGACAACTCGCTGTGGGACAAATGCAAGAATTCAATTTAATTATTTAAAATGATTTTTAAAAAATGTTTTATTTTGGGGGGGGGGTCCTTTCCGTTTCATTCTGTCCCTCCTTTGGCATCCTTTCTTTAACGATTCTATCCCACCATTTCTTCAATACGAGTGTAACTCTTTCGTCTCGCAGAGAGTTGGCCACGGCGCGTTTAAGAGAATAACAGGAGAGTTGGAAGGGGCCTTGGAGGTCATCCAGCCCAACCCCCTGCTCAAACAGGAGACCCCATATAACATTTTAAAATAACAGGAGAGTTGGAAGGGACCTTGGAGGTCATCCAGTCTAACCGCCCTGCCCAGGCGGGAGAGCAGGATGTTGTCTGTTGTAGATTGCCGAAGATCCCACACCAGGTCTAACAAATGTTGGGGTAACGTTGTTTTTTTCCCCTTTCTCCACAGCATCACAGTGGTCACGTGGAACGTCGGCACCTCCATGCCCCCCAGCGACGTCACCTCCCTCCTGCACCTCAACCCTGGGGACTCTTCTGACAGTGACATGATCGCTATTGGGTAAGGCGGCGGGAAGGCCCGCTTCCTGGGACCCTGGCGGGTCCTTTCCTGAGCAGGAAACAACCAAGAGAGCGAACCCCAGAATCGGGGGCCCAAAGCTGCCCACTGAATCGCTGCAGTCGTTAAGTTAATAACCCGGTTGTTAAGTGAATCCAGCTTCCCCTGTTGACTTGGCAAAGATCACAGCTAAGAACCGGTTGCCAAGCATTTGAATTTTTGATCGCCTGGTTCGGGTGATGCAAAGGTCGTAACCCTGAAAAATGGACATACGTCGCTTTTTCCAGTGCTGTTGTAACTTTGAACGGTCACTAAACGAACTCTTGTTAAGTCGAGGAGTAGCAGGACGGCTGTTCTATCCTAAGCTTCCCCAAAAGCACTAAGCCAACTCTTGAGTCCCGGCAAAACCTCTTTTATTCCACAAATGTGAATTTATTGCATTCACATTCAGCCAACGGCCTGGCAAACAGTCTTGCAAAGGTGTAGTTATTAGCTCAGACCTTATCCGTCTTGGAAAGCTGCCCAGTTAATATTTTGGGCAGCAGAGTTAAATAATTCACAATATATAGGGTTGCAAGCGTTGTTGGGCAGTATCTCTGGGGAAGGAGCTGAGTTGGGAGAAGAAGACCTTGGGGGAAGCCTCTGGGTGGGGAGGGCCCAGAAGGAAAGCTGATGATTTTGCACACTTAATTCTGCAGGTTGCAGGAGGTGAATTCCATGATCAACAAACGCCTGAAAGATGCGCTCTTCACCGACCAGTGGAGTGAACTTTTCATGGAGGTGCTGAGCCCCTTTAATTTCGTCCTGGTAAGCCAGAGTCCAGTCCCGCCCCTCCAATCCTCCCGGCTTTGCAGACTGGCGGGATGGGAGGGGGAGCGTGCACAGCTGCATTTGCACAAGCGGCGGGCACGCTTGCCCACCGTTCGTGCCGATGGGGCGCACGCATGTGCTCGTGTGTTGCTCACGCAAGTGGGGATGTGCACACACCTGCGCTTGCTTTCCACTTCCACGGTCCAGTTCTGAATGGCTCAAGGGCCAGGAATGGGCCGCAAGCCCAGGGGATTGGGGACTCCCCCAGGGGTGGGATTCAGTATTTTTTACAACCGGTTCTGTGGGCGTGGCTTAGTTGGTGGGCGTGGCTTGGTGGTCATGTTATCGGCTGGGCGTGGCCAACACAATATCACTCACATCGAGGCACGCATCTCCTCGCCTGGCCTCTTATGACTGTGGGGATGCTGCGACAGTCGTAAGTGTGAAAAGTGGTCATAAGTCACTTTTTTCAGTGCCATTGTAACTTTGAATGGTCACTCCACACAAGCAAAGTACCAGCAAAGGAGGGGGAAAAAAACTCCAGAGAAGTTCCTGAGACAGGAAGTCTAGTCCTGCCCAGAATGTAATAAGGGTCAACGGAGAGGCAGTTTCTGTAAGCAACACCAGAATGTTTCCTTCCTGCCTCCCTTACAGGATTAGCCCAGTAATTTCTTCTAACAACCGGTTCTCCCAACTGCTGAGAATGTTAACAACCGGTTCTAGCGAATAGGTGCAAACTGGTAGAATCCCACCCCTGGACTCCCCGTTGTAAGCTTCGAGGTGTGAAGTCTGGCTATAACTTAAGACCATGATGTGCCAAAGATGAAGTTAAGCAGAGGCTTTGAAGAACAAACTCCAACTTTAATTGATCAATATGGTTAGGGTGAGATCTATCCTCATATGATATGAGAGGAAGGCTATAAAGGATATAGAGAAAGTAGAGTCTTCCTACACCTTTAAGACCCTTAGAAGTCGAGTAACTGCATTGTAAAACTCTCTAACTTAGATTTACATCTTTCCTGCAAAAGACAAATTGTCTTTCCGGCAATATTTACCTTTCATTATCCCTTCTCCTATTGTCCTACTAACTGATCACAATTGACCCCTTAAGGAGGCTATTAACAGCATACTTCAAAGGTGTGGATTCCTCCCGCTGGAGGTAGCTACATTCCCAAAGAGGTACGTTTCCTTCCCAGGCAGGGGTGATGCTAAGGGTGGAATGTATCAGATGGATTCAGATTGATTTAGATGGGAGAATCGTGTGTCTTCATAGGAGAGGGATGGAACTGACTGCAGGCATGTGTTTATAATTGTTTTACAACAAGTGAAAGGTTAAGGGAACCTTTTCTACAACAGCAAGATAAGAAATGCCTATAGGGTGATAAATGATTAACAGAAATATTTCTGCATATACAAGAAAACAAATGCCTAACAGCAAGATAGCAAAGGCCTATAGAGTAACTCTCTACTTAATGCTACAATATATTCTACTACATTTCTTTATTTATTACCTTTCAGAGGAAAATCCAAAAGGGATTTTTTTTGCAGGAATGGTTGACAAAACAAGGCTGTTGGGCAGCTTTAAATCCCTTCGGCGTGCATATAGGGCCAATATCTGGATTATTTTGGCATTTGTGAGCGGGGGAGAGAATTTCAGGGAGTGATTTCCACCCCCCACCCTTCCTTCCCCCCCCAGGTCAGATCCCTGTATCTGCTCTGAGCAGCTTGAAGGGCAAAGGGAGTAGAAGGCTTAAGGCATTTAATTTCCCCTGTAACCCTCCTCCCGCACGTCACGACCCAGCCACATGACGCTGAATGCCTGCCAGATTAGCCGACTCCTCCCCAGCCATGAAAATGAATGAAACGCAAGAAGGATCTATGGATTCAGCTCACGTGGCCGAAGCAGGAGGCACCAGCACTTCTAAGCAAGCCTCTGAAAACAGAGTTTTCTTATCTTTATATGTCTATATCATTTATATCTCTATTTATCTATCCATCCATCCATCCATGTTGGCCCATTCTTTCCCCTAAGTTTCCATTTCCCCGAAAATCGTCTGCGGTGTTGCACCATCGTTCTCCCATAATCACGTATTTTTGTAAGCTCTTTTCCTTAAATGTATTTTTGTGATTTTCCTCCTTTTTTATTCGTCAGCCACAGTCCAGAAAAAGGACAGATTTTGCGCATGGGTAGCATTTCACACCCAAGCGACGTGTGAATCGGAAAGGCTCTAATTAAAATCGAGGAGAATGAATTTTCCCCGCAACCCCTGATTCCGACTGCCAAAGCTTCCATTTGTCGAATGTATTTAAGGGGGGGGGGGGGGGGGGGGAGAGAGAGGCTTCTACCTTTTATTTATTTATTTATTTGCTTTAATTAGAAATATAAATAGCTTGGCGGGGAAGCATTATCGCTCAGTACACCAGCTGCTGCTTCTCCAAAGCTGTGCAGGTTTTTTTTTTTTTTTCTCCAAAGGACGTTTTTTTGCAAATAGAAGCAGATCCTTCTTCTGATCTGTTCCGGAGCACAAGTTCCTGAGCACGTACAGAAGTCACTGCCCTTATAAAGTAGAGCAGATCCATTCATTAGAGGCGACATGCTGGCCCTGCCCTGGATGAAGCCAACTCTGGCCTACGTCATTGACCCTGTGACCCTGTCCCCCCACCCACCCCCGGTGATCAGATTCTCCAACTGAGCACTATTCACGGGCTTGGTGATCAATCGCATTCTCCAATTGCGGGCTGAGTGTCATCAATCATGTTCTCCAATTAAACATATTCCTGGGCAAAAATCTCTGGTAGTTTAGTTACAACCTTTTAAAGAGAAGAGTTGGAATGTACTTTTGCTTTGCTGCGCTGCTCTTTTTTTTATTATGCCAACTACTAGAACAGGCATAGGGATGTTTTATGAGTTGACACTCTGAGAATGTGGCTTTAGCCGGTGTTTCCCCAGGAAGCCTTCCAGTCTTCGGTTTATTTGCGACTGTGGAGGTGCAGAATTAAGAACTCAGCGCCTTCCTTTCTCTTGACTACCTTTTTGCTGTTTCAGGTGAGCACGGTACGGATGCAAGGAGTCATCCTCTTTGTCTTTGCCAAGTATTACCACCTGCCTTTCCTGCAGGACATCCAGACCGACTGCACCCGGACGGGCCTCGGTGGTTACTGGGTACGTGAGTTTTGCCCCCAAGCCTGCCTGTCGTGGCGGGATTGATATTTGGGACTAAGCTGGAGGAATCCGGCAGGAGCAATTGAGCAATCAGGATAGAGTGGAAGGGACCTTGGAGGTCTTCTAGTCTGACCCTCAAGCAAGAAACCTGGCCTATCTCATTTCAGACAGATGGCTTCTTAAAAACCTCCAGCAATGGAGCACCCACAACTTCCAAAGGCAACTTCTGTTCCACTGATTAATTGTCCTCACTGTTAGTATAGGGTATACGTACTATACACCCTATACTAACTACCTATATACTATATGGTCTAGAGTTTCCTGCCTGAGCAGGGGGTTGGACTAGAAGACATCCAATGTCCCTTCCAACTCTGTTTCTACTGGTTTTCTTTATTCTATTCTTTCATATTTCTATTCTTTCATATTTCTATTCTTTCATATTTCTATTCTTTCATATTTCTATTCTATCATATTTCTATTCTGATTTCGTCCTATCCTATCCTATCCTATCCTATCCTATCCTATCCTATCCTATCCTATCCTATCCTATCCTATCCTTTTCTATTCTATTCTATTCTATTCTATTCTATTCTATTCTATTCTATTCTATCCTATCCTTTCCTATTCTATCCTATCCTATCCTACCCTACCCTACCCTACCCTACCCTACCCTACCCTATTCTATTCTTTCATATTTCTATTCTATTTTATTGTATTTCTGTTCTGATTTCATTCTGTTCTGTTCTGTTCTTTCATATTTCTATTCTATTCTATTCTGTCCCGTTTTGTTCCCTTCTCTCCTATTTTCTCTGCCCCCCATCTCATGGCTTCTCTGCCTGCCTTCCTCCAGGGCAACAAGGGAGGCGTGAGCATCCGGCTCTCCATCTTCGGGCACATGGTTTGCTTCTTGAACTGCCACTTGCCGGCACACATGGAGAAGGCGGAGCAGCGGAAGGAGGACTTCACCACAATCCTCCATCTGCAGCAGTTCGAGGGGCCCTCGGCCAACGGCATCCTTGACCACGAGTGAGTACCAGGCCCTTGGGTCCTTCCAGGCTGGGCAACAAGCCTTGCCCATTCAGAAGGTCCATTTTGAGGCCAGCCCAAAACAGGTTGAATCCAGTCTTTAGAAACAGCAGCTCAATTATAACTTACGATTATCACTAGCAGAGGTGGCATTCAGCCGGTTCGGACCGGTTCTCAAGAACTGGTTGCAAAAATTTTGAGTAGTTCGGAGAACCGGCAAATCCCACCTCTGTCTGGCCCTGTCCCCGTCTATTCTCTGCCTCCCATTGAGTCCCAGTGATTGGCTGGGTCTCCTTTGGTTGCCCTGCCCAGGAGAATGGAGCTGGAAAGCAGGTTAGTGGGGCGGGGAGGGAAGGGGGATTTTGCAGTATCCTTCCCCGCCATGCCCACCAAGCCACATCCACCATGCCACGCCCACAGAACCGGTAATGAAAAAAATTGAATCCCACCATCGATTACTAGGTATCTCAAAAAGTTGAAGAGGAGAGAATGGCATTGACAAAGATGATGACTGGAGCATTTTGAGCCTCTATGGCACAGTGGTTAATTATTTCATTTTTCTTTAAATATTCTCATGCCTTATTTTACAATTTTATCTAAATTCTTGTTTAATTTCCATATTCATTACACATCACACTTGCAAGTTTATCACATACTATTATTCCATTCATTGTTCAATATGATTCATCCTAATTCTGATTATCCAAAAATTATCCCCTTTCATTGTCAATTCGAGCTTGTCACCCCTTTCCTTTATACATTCACCCATTTTATTCCCATTCATTGTGAAAGTTTACCATAATATAGTCCTTTTTAATTACCACATTCCACATTAATAACAATAATTCTTTAACTACTATGTATCACTTATGCATTTATATGTGTGTGTGTGTGTTTTAAGTCAGATTCCACATGGTATTCCCTTTTCTCAATTACATTCTAAGTCATATATTTATTTCAAAGATATTGATTTCTTCAGTTAATTTTGGGAACTGATAATAGTCTTTCCATTTCAATTTTGTTCTATTTTACTTTATTAATTTATTTGATTCTTTTTGTTAGTTTTTATTGTTTTTTTATTTTTTATTTTTTGTTTTAAATGTGGTTTTACACTGTGTAAGCCGCCTCGAGTCGCCATGGGAGAATAGGCGGCAATATATATGAAATAAATAAATCAAATAAATAAATCAAATTGACCGGGAAGCTTGTTAACGGGGAGGCGATGGGCATGAATCCTCCCTGGTATGAGGTTCCCAGGCTCTGGCTTTGACTTCCTTTGTGTTTTCTACAACTTCAGGGTTGGCGCATGCCAGACAAGTCAATTTCTGGAGAGCTAGAGAAGGCCCTTGGTGGCTATATAAAGTAATTCCACTTTATTTTGCTATCCAGAGTTGTGGACATGAGAGGATTAGGGCCAGAAGAATTCCAACATCTGACTTAATTTTCTTTCAGAAGCAATAGATCCTCGGGTACAAAGATTGTTATCCCCTGGTGGAAAGATTCTGGATTCTCTTTCTAACAGGAGAGGAATGAGGCGGCTTTTGCAAATCAGAAAGGAAGATCCCGTATCTAAGAGCCTCCTGGATTTTTATTGTTAAAAAGGTTCCCCACTATTTCCTTCTCCTTGTCTCCCCTCCAGCCTCATCTTCTGGTTTGGGGATCTCAACTTCCGCATCGAGACCCTGGACATCCGCTACGTGAAATACGCCATCGACAACAACATCCTCCATCAGCTCTGGGAGAAGGACCAGGTGAGACATACCTGTGTGTGCAGAGTGTGAGTGCAGTAGCAGCCTGTTTGATTGAAGCCTTCTCTTGGCGAGGGGTCAATCAATCAGGATAGAACTGGAAGGGACCTTGGAGGTCTTCTAGTCTAACCCCCTGCATAAGCAGCAAATCTATACCATTTCAAATGATTGTCCAATCTCTTCTTGAAAGCCTCCAGTGATGAAGCACCTACAACTTCTGAAGGCAAAGCTGTTCCACTGGTTAATTGTTCTAACTGTCAAGAAATTTCTCCTTAATTCCAGGTTGCTTCTCTCCTTGATTAGTTTCCACCTGTTGCTTCCTGTCCTGCCTTCTGGTGCTTTGGGAACTAAGTTGACTAGTAAGACTGCTACAATGTCCCCCTAATCATTCTTTTCTCTAGACCGGCCACCCCCAATTCCTGCCACCGTTCTTTATATGTTTTAGCCTCCAGGCCCTTAAATCGTCTTAGTTGCTCATCTCTGCACTTTTTCCAAAGTCTCAACCTCTTTTTTGGTAATGTGGTGACCGAAACTGGATCCAGCAATCCAGGTGGGGCCTTACTAAAGCTTTATAAAGCAATACTAATCCTTCACATGATTTGGATTCTATGTTTACACCACCAAGGATTATATTGGCTTTTTTGGCTGCCGCCACACACCACTAGCTTATATTTAACCCTTTAGTTTAGTTTACTTTACTGTCATTGCACCTCGTACAATGAAATTAAATGCCATCTTCAGTGTATACTATAACTATAAAAAATAAAACACAAGCACCCATCCTTTGCCTTCTATGCCATTGAATTGAAAACCCCTGATATTGCATTAATATTGCGCTATATAGTAGAATTCAACAGAGTTGCTGCCCTGGGATAGAAGCTGTTTTTCAGCCTATTTGTCCTTGTTTTTATTATCCTGGACCATCTGCCAGATGGTAGTAGTTTAAAAAAAAAAGGGGTGCCCAGGATGAGATGGATCTTTGAGGATGTTTTGAACTTTCTTAAGGCAGCGGGAGCGATAAAGCTTTCCCAAAGAGGGGAGAGGGCAACCAGTGATCTTCTGGGCAATGATTAAATGAGTTTTGAAACCTAAAATAATTTTGACAGGGGTGTTTCTGGGTAATAATGTTGCTCTTGAACACGCTTGCCTGGTGGAGTGGGCCATGCGGTTGACTGCACCTGGGAGGACAGGTGTAATGCATGACCATGGTGAAGTGGAAGGTGTGGGAGAAAGAGAGAAGGAACCCCAATCTCCCAGCTTTGTCCTCCTGGCTTCTCTCGTTCTGCAGCTTAACATTGCGAAAACTACGTGGCCCATCCTGAAGGGATTCCAAGAGGGGTTCCTCAATTTCCCCCCAACCTTTAAATTTGACGTGGGAACTAACATGTATGACACCAGGTATGGAGGACAGTTGGCGGGTTGTGGATCAGTAGATGGACTGAGCCAAGACATTGATTGATTGATTGATTGATTGGCATATGACCACAAGGGAGCCCAAAACCTCTGTGGTTGAATGAGACATTTGTTCAGTGAGTTTTGTCCCCGTTTTATGAACTTTTCAGACTGGGGGGTTGTGGGGGACCACAAAACAGACCAAGTCATAGAAAAGGAAAAACAGCTAAACTGCTCTGGAATTTCAGAATTCAAACAGATAAGCACATTTATTAACATGCAGTTAATAAATGAGGTGCTACATGAGCACCTCTATAAGGGCGTCCTTGTCTACTTGGTTGACATTCTCATGGACAATCACATACCCCTAGTCCACCAGGTACTGGAAAAATGTTTAGCAGCAAACCTGCCACACAACACCCCAGATTTCATAGCTGTTGATAAGAAAGACAAAAATATCTGGATAGTGCAGGAAATGCAGGACCAGGTCAGAAGAGATGAGAGGAAAAAAACTGGAGAAAATCACCAAGTACAAAGACCTGCCAATAGAAGTAGAATGACTGTGGCAAATGAAAGCGAAGTCGGTAACCATAGTAGTGGGGTCTTTGGGTCCGATCCTAAAATATCATTGACATTGTCAAAAATCCCCACCCGTCAATTGCAAAAGGCAGCTTGGCTTATAACGGTTGACATCCTGCGATGAGACCTTGAACCCCATCAAACTTCCACACCTGTTTATCCAGATCCTGGGGAAGGTCTCAACAGCTGGACAGAGATGCCAGGTCCAGCTTGAACATCTGGCTGTGTGATCAGCCATAATCATAATTTACAACAGGGGTCCCCCACCCCCATTTTGTGGAGTGGCACCGGGCCACGCCATGCCAAAAACAAGGCCGCACAAACAAGGGAAACTCCATGCATGGGATGCAGGCAACACAAAATCATGCCCCCCCCAAGCCATGGAAAAACATCACCCCACGGAACCGGTCCCTGGTGCCCCAAAGGTTAGGAGCCACTGATTTACAGAATATACACTATGTATTTTATGCCAGCCTCCACTTAGGTCCTCATTTCATGTCTTTTGTGTTGTGACCCCAGTGCTAAAAAGAGGAAACCAGCTTGGACGGACCGTATCCTATGGAAGATCAAAAGTGGGACCCACCCAGTGCATTCTGGGAGATCCAGCGGTGGGAACCTGACGGTGACCCAGCTCTGCTATTGCAGCCATATGGAGTACACTATGAGCGACCACAAACCCGTGGCCTCCATTTTTGCAGTACAGGTGAGTGCATAGCAGTGGTGGGATTCAATTTCTTTTTTTTTTACTACCGATTCTGTGGGCGTGGCTTGGTGGGCTTGATGTGCCTTGGGCACGGCAGGGGAAGGATATACTGCAAAATCCCCTTCCCTCCCCACCCCACTAACCTGCTTTCCAGCTCCGTTCTCCTGTGCAGGACAACAAAAGAAGACCCAGCCAATCAGCTGGGACTCGGGAGGTGGAGGATAGATGGGGGCGGGGCCAGTCAGAGGTGGGATTGGCTGGTTCTCCAAACTACTCGAAATTTCCACTCCCAGTTCTCCAGAACTGGTCAGAACCTGCTAAATACCACCTCTGGTACACAGCCCTATTGACACACACACCCCTGAGCCTGTGGATAGCTGTTGTTGTGCCACTGACAGCATTAACCATTTTTGAGGAAAAAAAACCTGCTCTCGCCATGTTCCTATGTGACCTTCAGTTACAATTGCCACCTGCTAGTCTTGTCTGCTCAGAAACACTATTAAATGAACCGTTGTAAGTTCCTGGAGAAAAAAGGCTGAAGGAGAGCAAGCGACAAAATGCGCTTCTTCGATTTCCTTCCTGCTTTTTTGCTTAGCCACTGATTTCTTGCAGAGCATTTCCTGTGGGAATTGGGTTTGGCTAGTCTAGAGAAAAAGAAGGACTGGGTAGGAACATGAATAGCAGTTTTCCAGGATTTGAGGGGGCTACCACAAAGAAGAGAGGATCAGCCTAATTCTACAAAGCACCAAAAGGCACAACAACAAACAAAAAAAAACAATGAATGGAAACTGATCGAAGAGAGAAGCCACCTAGAACTAAGTTTTGATAAATTAGTAACCCCAGTTGGGAAGTGAGTCTGGCAATGAATAACGATCAATGATGATCCTAACTCTTCTGGCAGTTTGGTTCCCGAGCTGATGTGCCACTGGTGGAACTCCAAGTGGCCGACGAGTGGACCAAGCCGGAGCAAGCCGTGGTCCACTACAGAACCTCTTCGGCTTTCCACCGCAGTTCCTGGGATTGGATCGCACTCTATCGGGTGAGAAGGGTTGGTCGGGCGAGAGGATTGGCATCCTAAAAGGCAGCGCGAACTCTTCCCAGTGGTGGGCAGATAAGTGGAATGATCTGGGTGTCTCAGCAGCCACGGGAGGGCACTGTGGAAACCTCTTGTGATTTATTTATTTATTTATGTGATTCGTCAATCGCATACAAGATGGGAGGTATAAGAATAAACAGGAAATAGGTACGGATAAATGGGGACAGTGGGACAGGGACGGTAGGCACGATGGTGCACTTATGCACGCCCCCTTAAGACCTCTTAGGAATGGGGTGAGGTCAATAGCGGATAGTTTGAGGTTAAAGGAGTAGTGGGGGGGTTAGAGGATGTAACAACAGGGTCATGTAGTGCATTCCAGGCATTGACCGCTCTGTTTCTGAAGTCGTACTTTCTGCAATCAAGTTTGGAGCAATTTACATTGAGTTTGTATCTGTTGTGTGCTCTTGTATTTTTGCGGTTGAAGCGGAAGTAGTCATTGACTGGTAGGACATTGTAGTGGATAATTTTGTGTACTACGCTTAAGTCCAACTGTAGGTGGCGTAGTTCAAGGTTGTCCAAGCCCAAAATCTCAAGCTTGGTGGTGTAGGGTATTCTGTTGCAAGCAGAGGAGTGTAAGTAGTCTTCTCGTGAAATACTTCTGGGCTCGCTGAATTGTATTAATGACCAATATACAGTGCAGACTCCAGACAGGTGAACTGTATTCGAGTATTGGTCTATTTTTTCCCTTGTAGGTGGGTTTCCGGCATTGCAAGGACTACATAGCCTATGTATGGGCCAAGCAGGAAGATGCAGAGAGCCACCTCTACCAGGTAAGACTACGGGAGCAAATGGAGGCAGGTTAAAAGGTTTAGTCTCAGGAAAAGGCAACATCCAAGGCAGGGTGGGATTCAAAAATTTTAATGACCGGTTCTGTGAGCGTGGCTTAGTTGGTGGGCATCATTTTGTGTCGGTCCAACCTCACAGAGCTGACGTTTTGAAAACAAATGTCCAGAGAGAAAACGGGATAGGGATTAACAAAATAATGGAATAATAATAATAATAATAATAATAATAATAATAATAATAATAATAA